GTGGTTGAGTATCAGAGTGTTCCATCTCATTTCCCTTTGGGGTTGCTGTAGGTGATCTGGAAGTCTGGTTTTGAGACTTATTTACACGTCTTCTCATTTCGACCGGGGCGGGGGGGGGCGGTGCTCGGTGTTGTTAGCGCCCACACGGCTCACCTCCTCCAAGCCAGGATCAGTGGGACAGTGGCTCAGAAGCCCCTTCCTCTGGGCTGGGAGCAGCAGGACAGATGGTGGCCCAAAAGCCCTTTCCTTTGGGCTGGGAGCGGCGGGATGGATGGCGGCCCAAAAGTCCTTTCCTCTGGTCTGGGAGTGGTGGATGGATGGTGGCCCAGAAGCCCCTTCCTCTGGGCCAGGAGTAGCATGACAGTGGCTCAGGAACCCCTCCTCTGGGCTGGGAGCAGCGGGACCCTATATATCCTTCTAAGAATTTTTAGTTTTTCCTCTTGATGTAGGCCTGTGGTCCTGTAGTTAAGCTCTGTCTCTGTGTGAGAAAGGGATCCCATTTTATTCTTCTGCAACTCCATACCCAGGCATCCCTACGCCATTGTGGAAGACTCGTTTTCCTGCCCCTGAATTGACTTTTAGAAAATCAACTGGTCATAAATGTAAGGGCTCCTTTCCTATTTAGTGTTTGGTCATGTGCTTATTCTTTTAAAATTGAGGCATAAAAACCCTCAGACAAATGTGAAGGAAAGTCTTTGAAAAATCTCTAAAGATGACATTCTAGGAAAAAAACAAATGCTAAAGAGGACACCTACCTTCTCTGAGAGGCTGACACCACCCTGCTCTGTCCCATATGCCACAAACAAGGAGAAATACCCTCTATCCAAGAATTGGACTTGAGCCAGTGACCTAAGCCCTCCACCTCTTCAGCTGAGAAACATCCCCCAGTAAGTTCTGGAGGAAATTAGGTCTCATGGCCATTTCAGGAGGTTTGGGATCTATCCTGCTTGGTCCTGCAGGGGATGTTGAGGGAGGGGTGTTCTCTGTGGCTGTCACTACCTTGTCTTAGCCTTCAGCTTCTCGTGGATGAGATGGGAATTATTTGGGGGACAAACGAGGTGATGCGTGTGAATGTGCTCTGGGAGCTGCAAAGTGTTGCCGGTGTTGCTGAGGGGTGACACCAGTGATGATACCAAAAGGCAGACTCTTAGGGTCTTCTAAGGCCACCCAGATCATCTGCCCATGCTGGACCCCTTCTCCAATATTTCTGAAAAGTGCTTACTCAGTCCAAGCCCCTGTGGAGATGGGGCGCTCAGTGTCCTGAGGCAGCTGTTCCATATTTGGTTAGAAAGTTTTCTCTCCGCTTGAGCTGAAAAACCATAATATATCAGCTGTGCCAGGCGCTGTTTCACTTTCATTCTTCAAATAATCCTGTGAAGCCAATGCACTGTTATGTTTCCCCATTTATGAGGGAGAGGAACAGGCTCAGAGAAGTTAAGCAACTTGCTCAGGGGCCCATACCCACTAAAATGCAGGTAGAACTCAAGCCCAGACCTGACTGACTCCAAGGCCTACATATGGGAACTTTGAGCTGTTTTGTAGCTTTCCAGTCAATCCCAAGCAAGGGTCTCAGTGCCATCCCTGGGGGCAATATGGAGCAGGGCTCACTCTTCTTGTCCATACTGGCCTTGACCACCAACCTCTTCAGATGTTCACCTCACCAACGTCGCAGTGCAGAAGATGTCTCCCGACTACCACCCAAAGAAGGTGAGGAGGCTGGGCTTCTGCACTCCACAAGTACAGCCTTGGGGATGCAGTGGCTAGGAGCTCAGACAGAACACAGTTCACTGGTGAGGGCAGGGCCACCCTTTGCATTTGTGTGGTCCAAGGCAAAAGTACAGGAAGGTCCACAGATCATGTGTCTAAATATTTGAAAGTTACAGGTCAAACTAATGCACCCCTAAGCAAAATGTGTGCTATTCTTCTACCTGGACAGTTTCTCCTATTGCTCAGTCCTTCCATTGGTGTATCACACAGACACGCTATTTATCTTGTCTATTCATCTACCATCTGTCTCTCTGTCTGTCATCTATCTATCCTATCTATGATCTATCTAATCTGCATAATAACCTTCAAGGCCAGATTCAAATACAGAATTCTCAGACTTTTCAGAGGTAGGGGCCAGATCAGGGGCAAAGGGCAGCAACCCCCAGCTCTCATTTCATCAACCCCCAGCTTTCCCTCTCTTGGCTCAATCCCTTATGGGGCCTTGTGTGTGCAAACAGCAGCCTGTTGGCCACTCTTGGCCTTGGGAGGTATGTGGTCACTGTAGTCCTTCCTCAGGGAGGCAGGCCTAGGGAAGGGGCTTGTACGAGCCACATGGACAGGGACAGTTGGGGTCCAGTCCTGTTAGTTACAGACAATCTTTGCTTCAGAAGGAGGCTACTCCCAGATCACCCTGATTGTGGGACTCAGACCTAAGGACTATGTTAATGAGCTTGAAGGCTTGAAGGTCCTGGCAGATGGGGTTCTATTACCTGAGGTCCCTCACTACCTGGCTGCTGGCCCAGGGCTGCAAGTGGATGCTCCAGCACTTTCGGCAGTACCTAGCATCCAAGCATGGGCCCCAGGTGGTGGAAGCACTTTTCAGTGACATGGACAACATCTTCATCAAGAGCCTGCAAAGTGTGCAGAAGGTGATCATTAGTGACAAGCACTGCTTCGAGCTGTATGGCTACGACATCCTCATCGACCAAGACCTCAAGCCGTGAGTGGGAGAGCAGCCCGGAAGGAGGGTGTGCGTGTCAGGGTTTACACAGTGCTCCCAGACCACCCAGACCTGAATCCCAGCTCTGCCACTTCCTAACTGTGGGACCTTCAAACACTTATTTTTTGCTGTGCCTCAGTTTGCCAGTTTGTAGAATGGGGTTGGTCATTGTGCTTGTACCTTATAGTGATGCGGAATAAAAGAACAATCATCTGTGGAGCAATAGGCACCAAGCCTGGCTCTCAGAGGTCTTTCCTGATCGTTGGCTGAGTCAGGAATGCTCCCCTCGTACCAGGCAGAGGATGGAAGTTTTGGATGCAGAGGATGAGAAGTGCTATGTAAGGGAATATGGTCCCAGTGTCAGTTCATGCCCGGAATGTGGTGCACAGCCGCAGCGTCCATGGAAGCAGAAGGAGCTGGCAGGGACTGCAGTGACTGCTTATATGACACGACAAGAGAGGGAAGCCCATGGGTTGTTCAAGGAGCCTAAGGTCAATGTCAGATCGAGAGCAAGGCCACGCCAGGTTGTAAGGACCTGGGCTGAGCTACTCCCCAGCAGCACTGCTGGGTGTAGAGATGACTCCCCTGCCAAAGTCACCATGTCAGTGCTGAGAGGCTTTTGAAACCAGGCATTGGAGGCCAAGAGAAAGACCTAAGTCAGCCCCTGGTTCAAGGGAAACTGAGTGACAGCACCAACGAGCTTCCTTCTCTGTACAGCAAGATGTGGCCATGGCATTAGGGTAGACACTGAGGGGGAATAAGCTTGGGCGCAGGCAGCAGAGAGTGGAAAGGGGGCCTGTGGTTCTGCACTGACTTCTGGGGAGCCTTTCTCTCTCTGTGCCCCAGCTTCCTATCTAAAATGACGGATTGTACAAAATAAGAAGTTGCATGCTGGAGGTCCTTGGGCTGACCTTGGCCTTTAGAATATTTTTTGATTTAAATTTATGGATAAGCTCTGAAATTTGGGAGATTTTTACATAAAACTTAGGGTTTTTGGTTTTTCTGGGAAAATCAGAGGATCCTGCCATTCTGGGTTCACACTCCACGGGGTGACACTGTCCCAGAAATACCCTTTTAGACTCAGATGCTTTCTAGCATCCCCACCCCTCCAGCCATCTCCCAGCCCTGAGAGAGCAGGTGAACGCTCAGGTGTAGACAAACTAGGAAGGCTAAAAAGAGCAGAATTCGCTCATACTCACATGTATAGGAAGAAGAAAAACATACCAGCAGGAGACCCCCATAATCATTCTTGCCCCCAGACAGCTTCCCTCCTCTAGCTGCCTTTCTCCAGGGTGGACAGATGGAGGGAGTGGCATTGGTTGGCCTGAGAGTGGGACCCATGTGGGACCAATTACCCTTCGGCTGACCCTCCCTTGGTCCCAGGTGGCTCCTGGAGGTCAATGCATCCCCCTCGCTGACAGCCAGCAGCCAGGAGGACTATGAGCTCAAGACTTGCCTGCTGGAGGACACGCTGCACGTGGTAGACATGGAAGCCAGGTGAGGCAGCCTCAGCCACATGCTCCATCTTTGGCAGTGGGGCTGCCACCAAGAGAGAGAGGAGTCAAGAGGTGGATCCAGCCTGCTTGACCATTTCACAGACAGGGAAATTGCAGTGCCTTAATAGGATTGGGTCTTGGTCCAAGGACTTGACCTCCCTGGAGTAGAGTGTCCATCTATAGCTTTCAGAGACTCAGTCAAGGAGGATTACCCAAAACTTCCTGACTGTGGGACCTGGGACCCAATCACTGCCTCTCTTGGAGCCTCAGTTTTCTCATCTGTAAAATAGGAAACATCATGACTACCCCTCAGGATTGTTAGATTAACTTACCAAGGTAATTTATTGCAATGTGCCTAGCTCATGATAAGTACCCAGTAAGGCTATTTATTGTTCTAATGATGTATACATAATGGAAAAAAAACAGGCTGGCTTCAGGCCTGGGTGTTGATTGGTGGGTCTGTTTTCTCTCCCTCCCTACTTTCCCACCTTGTACACATTTGCTCTCACACACACATGCCTCCCACCCAATGTGTGCACACATGCATGTGTATATGTATGTGGGTCTATCTATTGTTGTCTCTATCTCTCTCCTCTTTCTTCTATATCAGATTTTTCCCAGTTACTCCAGTGAAAGCTGGAGAGCTAATTCTCACTGCTGGGGATTGATTCCTATGCCAGTTCCTGAACCAGTCATTATGACTCTGGCCAGGCCTAGGTTTTGTGCCCACCTCCCACGGGGTAGTGTCAACCCCACCTGAGCCATGTGGATGGGGGCAGGAAGAAGGGTCCTTAAAGAAAAAACTGAGGCACCCTTGGCCTGAGGGAAAGTGAAATGGATGCTTATTCATTCAATAAGCATTCAGGGCCCTGCTGTGGCCAGGCCCGTGCCACACACTGAGGACACAGTGAAGGGCACCACAGACCTAGTGCTACCTCCTCAGTATTTTTAGTTTGGGAGGAAAGCAGACTATGCCAGAAATCACAAATCAGGGGCCTGTTACTACTGTAAGTGTGGGGGCCTCAGGAGCAACACTCAGAAACCTGTGTGGTCACCAGGATACAGCCAGAGTGGGTGGGCACAAAAGGAACTCTGGCAGGGCAGGTGCAGGTACAGTTCCAGGAGGGAGACCCGGCCCAGAAGCTGCCCCTTCTTCAACCTTGTGTCTCTTGTTGGTCCAGGCTCACAGGAAAGGAAAAGCGAGTCGGGGGCTTCGACCTCATGTGGAATGATGGTCCTGTCAGCAGAGAGGAGGGGGCTCCTGACCTGCCGGGGATGGGAAACTTTGTGACCAACACACACCTCGGTATGCAGGGGAGGTGGGAGGTAGGTGCCAGGGATGGCATGGGAGGTGCCAGATAGTGCAGGAGGCATCTGGCATAACACTGTGATTGAATTCAATCTGCAATTTAGCAGCTGTGTGATCTTTGGCAAGGATTTAACCTCTGTGCTTCACCTGTCAAATAGAGATGGAATAGTTTCTGTATATGCCTAAGACACTGCCTGGCACATAAAGATATCATTAATCTGTCAGGAGGTGGATTTCAAAACACTTAAGTGGAAAACAGTCTAAAACATCCATTACATATTGTTAACAGAAATGAAGGACCTCAGAGCTTGACTTCAAAGTTGGTTCCTAAAAAGTGAAAAATTTCCCTGATTATAAAAATTATTCACACTCATTGTAGAATATTTGAAAACGAAAGAAGGAAAATTTTTAAAAACATCCAGACATAACTATCTTTAACAATCTGGCATGTTTCCTTCCAGTTTTAAAAAAATGCATATATTCATACTTTTTCTTTTATAAAATTGGAATTGGGCCAGAGTTTTGAGTCCTACTTTTCCATCCAAGAATATTAAGAACCTCCCATTTGCAAGCACTGTTTAGCCAGGTCTGAACTAAACATTTTACACACATTAACTCATTTCATAGCTTTTATGCTCATTGTGCAGGTGAGGAAATAGTCTCCAGAGGTTACCTAGACTGCTGAGGTCTTGGTCACAAGTGATGAGGACTTAAACTCTGGTCTGTCGGACTCTAAAACCTGAAGGTTGCCAGCTAAATTCTCCTGTTCCTTAGCAGAATTAAGAACAAAATTACCATATGCAGCAAAACATTCTAGTGTGCATATATGCCAACATTTACCAAGCCAATTTCTTATCATTGGCCAGTTGACACAGTTCCATTTTTTTACTTTCATAAACAATACTATGATGAACATCCTTTCCCATAAAGCTCAACTGAAATTCTGGCTATTTTGCTAGAACAGATTCCTAGAAGCAGAATTACTGGATCAAATTTGGGCTTATTAAAACCAAACTGCTTTCCAGAAAGACTACTCCAATTTGCCAGTTTTTAATTTAAAAAAACAAGCAGAAAAATCTGTGCCAAATTGACAAGTGAAAATTGCTGACTCTTTATTGTCCCATGTGTGTTCCAGGGATCACTGCTGAGGTTTCAGATTTTTAATTTGCATTTCTCCTTTTGTAAGTTATCCAGTCTATTTTTCTAGGGGTTTCTTAGAGTTGTCTAAATTTATCAAACCTTTGGATATTAATATGTTAAAGGTATCACCCCTCTGTTAAACATACTGTGAATATTTTCCTGGGTTTGTCATTTGCTTTTTGAGTTGTATTTTGTGGTGACTTCTTTGATGATAAAAGAAATTTTATTTTTTTTAGAGTTTGGGGTGATTTGGAATTAGATTTAGCTTCATGTAACTAAAACCCCACCTAAGAGTTAAACAGAGAGGGGCGGATTTCACAGGCAGTCTTAGGCAGACCACACACGCTAACAAGTCTCAGGATGCCTCAGGGACCCAGCTCCTTCCTCTTCTGCCTTGCCACACTCAGCAGGTTGGTTTGGTGATCATGTTTTTTGCCTCATGGTTGCAAGATATCTGCTCCAGTTCCAGACAGTGTCTTTATCCCAGTCAGGAAAAAACAGGAAAGCCCAAGCACCAATGCCTTTTCTCCAGGGCTCTGACTTTTCATTCCAAAAGGGAAGGATACCTCCTACCATTCTGTCACCATCCCAGTGTCCAGAAAGCTTGGGGTGTCAAGTAGTGTGCCTGGGGGAAGACAAAGGAAAAGGGGGTTTGTGATCTGCTTTCCACAGCAAATGCCCAGCTCTGCCACATCTGATTGTTGGAGGATGACTACATGATGCTTCTCCAGCTTTAATGTGCATACAGTCACCTGGAAACCTTATAAAAATGCAGATTAGGGGCCGGGGATTTAGCCTAGTGGTGCCACCTCCTGCCTCACAAGTGGAAGGAACTGAGTTTGATCCCCAGTACCAAAAAAAAAAAAAAATGCAGATTATTATTCAGTAAGTCTAGGGCGGAGCCTGAGATCTGGTATTTGACAAATTCCAGGCAAAGCCCTGTTAACTACTGCTGTGCAACATAGTGAACACTGCTCCTCAAACCCAGCAGCTTAAAACAGCTGGTTTTTAAAAATAAATTTTATTTTATTTTATCCCTTTCCCCCCTCAAGTCCTCTCCCCTCCCTGTGTACAAAAGCTTTGTTTCCATTTTTTCCTACTATTTTCACTTTTTTCTTGGCCCTTCCTTCCTCCCTCCCTCCTCCCTTGTTCCCCTTCCCATTTGAAAACCTTCCCATTTTCCAACATCCATTATACATTTCAGTCCTTATTTCCACTTTTGGTTTTCTCACACCAGAGAAACAATGCAGTATTTACACGTGTGTGTCCAATTTATCTCACTTAAGAGTATGGTCTCAAGGTGCATCCATTTAACTATAAATGTCTGGAGCTCATCCTTTTTTATGGCAGAGAAGTACTTCATTGTATAAAAAAGAAACCACATGTTCTTAATCCACTCGTCAGTTGATGGGCATTTGGGCTGTTTCCAAGATTTACTTATTATAAACTGTGCTGCTATAAACAAAGGCGTGCATATATTGCTATGGTATGATGCTTTTAATTCTTTTGGGAAGCTACCAAGAAGAGGTAGAGCTGGGTCAAATGGAACCTCTAGTTTTAGTTCTTTGAGAAATCTCCACACTGATTTCCACAGTGGTTGCACCAGTCTACACTCCCACCACCAGTGGAGAAGGGCTCTTTTTTCCTCACAGCACCTCCAGCATTTGTTACTGGTTGATTTCTTGATAACAGCCATTTCTGGAGTGAGGTGGAATCTCAGTGTTGTTTTAATTTGCATTTCACAAAGGACCAGTGATGAGCACTTTTTCATATATTTATTTGCCATTTCTAATTCTTCATCTGAGAAGTGTCTTTTTATTTCAGATGCCCATTTTTGCATTGGGTCTTTAAATTTGGGGGGTCCAATTTTTTTGAGTTCTGTATATATTCTAGATAATAGTCCTTTATTGGAAGAGCTGGTAAACTCTTCAGAGTGGTAAACCCACTCTGTGGGTTGTCTTTTCACTCTACTGGTGGTTTCTTTTGCTGTGCAAAATCTTTTTAATAAGATGAGGTCCTAGTTGTGGATTCCTTGTAGTATTTCCCATGCAGTCTAGGTTTTATTCATGAAGTCTTTGCCTACTCCTATCTCTTCAAGCATTCTACCTATTCTCTCTTCCAGCACATTTAGTGTTTCTGTTTTAATATTTAGATCTTTGATCCATATCGATTTTAGGTTAGTGCGTGGTGAAAGATAGGGGTCTAGTTTCAATCTTTGGCCTATGGAAAGCCAGTTTTCCCAGCACCATTTATTAAAGAGGCTCTCTTTCTTCCAGTGAAAGTGTTTGACTCCTTTGTCAAAGATAAGGTGGCTGAGTATGTCTGGTGTTGTTTCTGCATCTTCTAGTCTGTTCCATTGATCCTTAGGTCTGGTCTTTTGCCAGTACCATGCTGTTTTTATTACTGTAGCTTTGTAGTATAATTTAAAGTCAGGGATTGTGATACCCCCTGCTTTGCCTTTGTTGCCCAGAATTGTCTTTGCTATTCTAGGTTCTTCTGGTTCCAAATGAATTTTAGGATTGTTTTTTTCTAATTCTGTGAGATATTCTGTTGGGACTTTGATTGGGACTGCATTGAATCTGTATAACAACTTTGGAAGTATGGCCATTTTCACTCTATTGGTTCTTCCTACCCAAGAACAAGGGATATCTTTCCATTTTCTTTTCTCTTTTTTGATACCAGGGATCGAACTCAGGACCTTGCACTTGTGAGGGAGGCAGCAGAATCACTGAGCTTATCCCCAGCCTTCCATTTTCTGATATCTTCTTCAGTCTCCTTTTTCAGAGTACTGTAGTAAAACAGCTGTTTTGTTTGCTCACGACTCTTCCCATCTCTTCTGGTCACTCATGGGGGTGCAGGGCCCTGGCAGCTCCCCTGACACCCGATGGCCTTGGGGAGTCTCATTCTCCAAGTAGGATTAATGCTGGATGTCAGCCAGTCTTCTTCTTCCATGTAGGCACCAGCTGATAAGTCTAGCCTAGCTTCCTGGCATGGTCTTCCCAGGGTTCCAAAAGACATGGCAAAGCCTCTTGAGACTGAGGCTTAGAAGTCCCAGTGTCATTCTGCTACAATCCAATGCCCAGAGCAATTATCTTGGCCAGCCAGGAGTCACAAGGTGAGGAATCAGGACTTACCTCTTGGTGAGAATGGCCAAGTCACCTTGCAGAGCTGTGTGCATAGGAATGAGAGGAACTGTCGCAGCCATCTCTGTGGACAGTCCCCTCCCAATACCAAGGCCACTGGTTCTTGGGTTCCCATTTGAATAGCACAGATAGAGAAGTCAGCTGCATACTGGAATCACTCAGGAGCTTTTAAAAAATCCTGATGCCTACTAGAGATAGAGATGTAGTTGGGTCTGAGCACATTTTGTTTGCGATACTGGGGATTGAACTCTGTCCTTGTACTGAGCTACATCCCCAGCCCTTCTTTTACTTGAGGGAGGGTTTGCCAAGTCACTCAGTTGCCCAGGCTGGGATTGCACTCGGGATCCTCCAGCCTCAGCTTTCCAGAGCATTGAAATTACAGGTATTCAATATCATGCTTGGCTTGGGCATCAGTATTTTTTAAAGCTCCCAGTTACTCAAATAAGTAGTCTAGGTAGATAGCCACTGTTTTAGAAGGCTCTAGAATTATTCCCAAGCTTCTAGTCAAGTGTTTCAGTGGATGGTGGTAAACACAGGAAGAAATTACTTTGGGGTGGGAGAGGGGTATTGATTGAGAACTAAGCTGGGTATATATTCAGGGTCATCTGGGTGAAAAGGTCAGCAGATAACTTAAGAGATATGTCTAGAACTCCAAGAGGGAGTTTGCATTAGTCATGAAGATTTGGCATTATGAACGTGCCAAATACAGTAAAAGCTAGGGTGTCATGGAACTCACTTTGAAGAACCCTGGGGATATATATAGTATATCCAGTATGTATACATATACTGGGCCTTCAGCTCAGTCAGTGCCTCTGAGGCAGGAACAGGGCTTTTGGGTGCTGTGAGAGAGGGAAGGTACCTCTAGGTAAGTACTTGTGCCACAGCACATATGGAAGCTGTCAATGTGCCCAGCTCAAGATTAAATGGTGTGGAGTTGCCTTGAGGATCAGCTCTGACAGCAAGCAGGAGATGGTTGCACTGTGACCGTGCTGGGACAGGTGGCACCTCAGCAGCTCATCTGGGCATGACTGCCTGAGACACACTTGCATGCCAGGGGCCACTTGTCAGGAAAGCTCCTCTTAGTCAACTGAGCCCAGCACATGAGCTGGGAAAAGGAAGAAAGCTAACATCCACTGGGCATCTGTTGGGTACCAGACACTGTGCTAGCTTTACTACCCTTCCACTGAGCAAAAACATGCTGGGGCGGGGGGGTGGGGGGGTGGCTCTGGCACCAGATAGTCTGGGTTCAAGACCCAGTTCTGCTACTTTTGGAAACCGGGGCAAATCACTTAACCTCTTCAAGCCTGCTATCTTGTGCACACCATTCCTGTGAGGGCTGCACTTCCTATGTCCAGCACCTGATGAACTCTGGCTGAGGTAAGCCCCAGCTGATGCCAGGTTTCCTGATGAATCCCTTGTCCACTGCACAAGGTGGGTCCTTATCCTGGCTGAGAAAACTGATGCTTAGAGAAGTAAATGACCTGCTGAGCACAGGGCACTTCAGAAGTGGAGCCAGGATGCAAACCACCCTCAACCCCATCATCCTAGCCAACACCTATTTCCCTTCCAGGCTGTGTCAATGATCGGAAAAACCAGCTGCAGCAACTGTTCCGCTCCCTTCAGTCCCAGAAGAAAGCTTCCAGTTGACCCTGGCATGGAGGACAGAGGGTCTGGAAGTTGCCACCCTGCCCTCTCCCTGCCTGATTCCTGCCAGCGCACCTCACAGCATTCCTCTCCCTCCCTCCAGGCTGGCAGCACCTTTGCTGGCTAAGCAATGGCTACTTGCTGCTTGGACTGGACCCCTGCATCTGCCCACCCTGGTCTTGGGCATCACTGCATCAGGAGAAAGCCAATCCCTGGGCCTGGATGGGTTTTAACCTTGACAGATTGGCTTGGTGACTGGGCCAAGAAGACAAGTGCAGTAAATTCTGCTACCCTGTAAAGATTGTATCTAATAAATGAGCACGGGCCTTGCTTGGAGTCACTGGGCACCAGGCCTGGCTTAGGGGCTACTATTTGTTTCAGCCAAGTCCTGGCTTTAGCATTTTGGTCCCAGGTCATGCTGAAAGGTCCCTAACTCTAGGAACCCTGTCTCTGAGCTGCAAAGCAAGCAGTTGTTAGGTCATGTTTACTGAAAGTTTGGAGAAGTGCCAAGCCCTGAACCTACCTTCTCCTCTGCTATGCCCTGACTTTAGATGTCAGAGAACCCATGGCCTCCGCTGGGCACAATCTGAAAACCAGTGAGGCAGAACACCTCCATTTCTCAGATAGTCAAGGTGAGACTTGGGAAGGCAGAGCTGTTTAGTGAGAGGCTCGCAAAAATGCACTTCACTGTCAGCTAGATGTCTCAGGCACTTTTCTGAGGTTAGCAGCTGAGCTTTTTAAACTAGAAAGCCTTGAGCTGTCAGGCAAGATGGCTTGGGGAGTTAGGTGCAAGTAAAAATCTTTTTTTTTTTTTTTTTTTTTGACACATTTCTATATTCCATTCCAAAGCCTCCTCTTGGCTTAAGAGCAGTTGCAGGCCTGGACTGCTGGACTACCTGCTCCATGGAGGGTTCCCACAGAGGCCCACCCCAAGGGCCCAGGCTGCTCCCACTACCACTCCCTGCTCTGGGCAGTTCTGGCTTCAATGGCAGAACCTGACTGTCTAGGTCAAGCCCAAAGGGGTTTTTTGAAAAACAATACTGGCATATCCAAGAAGTGAGCCAGCTAGCCTCAGGAAGGCCAGCAGCCAAGCCACAATGGTCCTTTCGCCTCCAGAGCACAGGAACTCCCCTCCATCGCTGTAAGGCAAGCCTGCACCCCCTGCCAGACTCCACTTCCGGGGGAAAGAACCAAGCCAAGTATGGTGGCGCACACTTGTGATCCCAGCAATCCAGCTGACTGAGGCAGGAGGATCGAAAGTTCTAGCCCAGGGTGGGGAACTTAAGACTTAGTGAATCCCCGTCTCAAAATAAAAATAAATAAATAAAAAGGACCAGGGACTCAGCTCAATGTCAAGGGTCTGGGTTCAATATCCAGTACTAGAAAGAAAAAGAACTGACTGGCTCTTGGGCTAGCATCCACCCTGCCAGGCAGTCAGGGATGTTTCAATAGAGAAATTATAAGCCAGGCAACCACATCAGATAGCATCCACCAGGGAATTCTGCAAAACCTTGCTTTTTAAATTGGTACTTTAAAATAGGCAACATTTTTGTATGGTTCAGAGTTCAAAGTTTACCATCTTCCCTTTCACCCTTGTGCCCCAACCCTGCCATTTCTGTCCTGGGGACCTATGCAGTGTCCTCATTAGCAGCAGACACCCATTCTGCCCTTGCTTTTCTCACTTGCATCTTGGAGCTTGTTCACATCAGTGCTCCAGGAGCTGCTCACCTCTGCTGGCGGCTGGGCAGCAGCCCACACTGGAGCTTGGATTCCCTTAACCTGGCCCCCATGACAGGACACACAGCTGGTTCCAACCCCACCTGCTTCTTAGGGCCATCACAGGGAGCACACAGGAATTACTACAAAACTCAAAATGCAAAATTGTAGGTCTGGGCCAAATTTGGCTTATGTGAAGTGTTCTATTTAAGACAAGAGTCAACTTAACCTATTCTAGCACCTTTTGAAAAACTTAAGCCTATGTTCCCACGTAACCATGGGCCACTTGCAGCAAGAACAGGTAAGGTGTGCCCTCTTTTTCACTTGTCACCTACCTAAGCCACCTCCCCTTTACAGGTGGCACTCCAAAAGAAGTGCTATGTCCTCAAGCTGGGCATGGTGGTGCACCCCTGTAATCCCAGCATTCAGGAGGCTGAAGCAGAAGGATTGGTGTGAGTTTGAGGCCAGCCTGGGCTATATAGCAAGACTGTCTCAAAAAAAAGTGAAATAGGAAGAAAAGGTCCAGAGGGGAAGGGAAAAGTGGGAAGGAGAAGGGAAAGGAATAAATATGAGAAAAGGAAAAACTGGAAACAAAGTCTTTGTAAATAGGGAGGTTGAAGGGTTGAACAAAGGGCAGGGGAAGTGGGAAAAATAAGAACCATGATATATTATATAAAGGTACAAATTCACAACAACGAATGTCAGCATACTATATACCTAAAATGTACCAATAAAATTAGTGAAAAGAAAAAGTGCTCTGCCCTCAGATAAAGACTATCAGCATTTGTTCATTTAGGTAACATTTATTAAGCCTCAAAGAGCATACAGGACAGTTTTATCCCCTCAGCACAAACACCAGGATCTCAGACCAGGAAGGCAGGGAGGACGTTCACAGAGCAGTAGTCAGGGTTAACCCACTAGACCTTCCTGAGTCACCTCTGCAAGGCTCACCCAACCGAAGAGCAATCACAGGAGCTGGGAAGCAGCAGGAACAAGGCCAGAGCTGGAGGCAGTGGGGGAATGTGCCTGCCCATAGATAGCTGTGTGAACACAGAGTACTCAGAGTCTGTGTTTCCCGCAGAGGCCACTTGCCTGCACTCCTGCTTTATTCCACTCCCACCACTCGCTGCCCCAAACCACCTCTCTGTTCTGAGGAATGCTGGCCAGAGACTCCGGCTCTATCCCTCTCCCATCTCCCAACCCCCATCCCCTCACACAGGCCCATATGGACAGCAGGCCACTGTTGAGAAGCGCCTGCTACAGTCATTCTCACACCCACACCTACTGGTGGCTGCCAGGCCCTGTCAATAGGTCTTGTGTCCCCCGAACTCCAGTGGTCAGGCACAGTGCACAGGGACAGGCTGAGGGATCCCTGCTGCCACAGAGCAGCCAAGCACTATGACAGAAGCTTTGTGCAGGAGCCACGGCCAGATTCCTGATGGCTGTGCCCCTGCAGGGCCAATCCTGTCCTTGCAGGTTTTAAGGCCAGAGGTACTGGGTCTTCCATGACGGCAGGGGAGATGCTGGTCATAGGTCCCCATCTTAGTACTGCAGTCTCATCCTTTCAAGATGATCTTGAGAGCTTTAAGCTCATCCTGATTGAGTGGGTTCAAGTTAAAGCCCTTCAGCTCCGGCTTGCCTGGGGGGAGAAGACAATGTGTGAATAGGCCTGGCCTCAGGCTGCCCCACCTACTGCTGGCTCCAGAGTCAGGCCCAGCAAAATGGCTAGCACTGTGTTCACATTGCCAAGCCTGGCCCAAGGTCTGATGGGAGTGGGCCTCAGATCCAGAGTGCACTGGGTGATGCTCATCAACACCCTCTCACGCCACAGATAACCTGCGAAGACAGGGCTGCTGTCCAGAGACTGCCAAATTTTTGTCAGACTTGTGATCTATCTGGAGCGCTTGGGTTTACCCAGAATTTCAGCTCTACTCTTGGCCTCTGATTGAGGCCTGTAAAGCTTCCTGTAAGAGCTACCTTGGTATGCAATGTGAGATCATTCCAGGCCTGGTGCCTAGAAAAGAAGCTGTGTCAGGGTTAAGACCCACAAGCCTCCCTGTCCATTTCATCTCTGGGCAGCTACAGATAATCACTGCTCACTGCCTACACCACTAGCACCTCCTACACACAGCCCTGGCCACTGCCCAACTCTCGGAGGCTTCCTACTCCTGCCCTTCGGAGTATGTACTGCCAGTTCTCTGCCCTCCTGGTTCCGTTTCCCCAGGCCAATACCTTGAGCCTCAAAGAGACAGTTGACTTTCACTTTAAGTTGTTTCCGGAGTTTTTCTATTTCTTTATCCAGGTGTTCCTGATCTGAAAAAATGAGGCAGACAGAGAACAAGGCGGTATTACAGACAGAAGGATCCAGGCAGTGGGGACAGCAGCCTCCCTCAACCTCCTTAGGAGCAAGAGATTAAATGCCAGAGGGACATGACCTGCCCGGTGCAGCTGGCCCAGGGCAGGACGGAGCACCCATCCTAACTCCTGGCTCAGTGGTCTTTTTCTCATTATGTATCATACACTGGAGTGGCCAGTGCATGGGGCAGCAGCAGTGACCCTTGGGCCACTCTCCCAGTGAAATTACACAAAGGTTAACTGGGAGAGCAGAATGAAGGACCCAGTTGACCCCAAGATGGCTGAGGAATTTTACAAACACAAGTCCATCAAGGCATGGAGGTTTTAGAAAGGCACACCTGTGGAAACATGTGACTTAAAATAATCGATGAGTGAGCCTAATGTTCCAGCTCAACCTAATTAACCAAGTAAAAAGAAAAGGTCACCCTAACAGTCATGGACTGCATCTCAGAGTAGTGGCATGATGACAGAGGTTGGTGATGAACTGACTGCTGTGAGCAACATTCCACTTGCTTTAAGAGACCTTCTGGCTGGTCTGCCCTCCTGCAGACTTTCATTTTTTCTGATACAAGGACTGACTGGCCAAGCTTCGGGCCCTGGGTGATGGTTCTACTTTTCTTTGTAAATAAGTAGTGCCTCATGAACTTGTCTAGTCTGTGTCAATCCCTGAGGACCAGTGAAATTATTTAGCCTGGTGCTCAGAACCCTGAACACATCCCAAATACCCTCTAGATACAGGTACTAGATTACATTTGTGGACCAACAGAGCCCAGCACCAGACCCTGAACGCTTACGAAGCTTCTCCAAAGAGCTTCAGAATCTCATGGCTTTAGAGACTTAAGTAACATGCTGGGTGCCCCTGTGGCAAACCCTAGGCAATGGTGGCAAACCTATGACACAGGTGCCATAGCCGGCCATTTGTTATCACTGAGAGCTCTAAAATGTTCGCCATCTCTGCTCTAAAGGTTTGCTCTCCCCAAATTTCCATTTTCAACCCAGTCTCTACTGAAGGGGATATAAAAAAATAGATCTCATCCAGGCTCCCTTGCAGTTACGGGTGGCTTTGGCCAATGAGGTGTTAGCAGAAAGTCTCTGGGGAGAACGACCTTATTTCCAAAAAGAAGGCAAGGCCATTTGTGGAGGAAGCTTTTTGCCTTCCCTTCATTCTGGCACATGGACATAAAGCCTGTAATGCTGTAATGGTGGCACAACAACCATGATAGCATGCCAAGGTGCCACAGCTAGACAGCTGTGCCAGTCCTCTGGGAAAATTTTACATGAGAAAAACAGAACCATATTTCCTTACCCCTCAATGTGTTGGGTTTTCTGTTATCCCTATCAGTATGAAGCCTGTAACGCAGAGTTTCTGCCTTCCATCAAACTGCTCAAAACCTGAATCTAAATTCTGGGTTAAGTGCAGGCAAGTGGGAAAAGCGGACAGATCCCTGACCCAGCCCCGGGCAGCCTTACCTTTCTCAATCATTTCCTTCGTCTGAGAGTGAGGCATCTTGATAAACATGCTCCCAAAGCAAACCATCACATCTTCTGAAATGGCAAATGACAATTTCCTCAACAAACTGTTTTGCTTTGTTTTTTTTGTTTGTTTTGTTTGAGACAGAGTATCACTATGTAGATCAGGGTGGCCTTGAACTCACTATGCAGGCCAGGCTGGCCTTGAACTCATGGTGGTCCTCTTGCCTCAGCCTCCTGAGTGCTGGGATTACGGGGGTGTGCCACCACACTCATTCTATAAAAAAGTATTTTTTGAGCACCAGCTTACTATCAGGCATTGTTGTAGATGCTGAGAACACAGGAGAATAAGACAGAGTTCCTGTCCTCATGGAGCTCATGTTATAGTGGAGGACAGGGAATAAGCAGACTCTGATAAGGGCTGTATTGAAAAATAAAGCTAAATAAGGATAGGGAATGCTTGAGTAGGAGAGGGACTTGTTATTTATACCCAGTGATCCAAGGACTCACTGATGATGTGATGCCCAGCAAAGACCTGAAGAAAATGAGGGTTTATCTGGGCAAGGGAGAAGCAGGCAGAGGAAATGGGAGCAGCAACAATCTGTAGTGCGTTTGGGTATCAGGAACAACAAACACCACTGTGAGTCAATGAGTGAGGGGACAGAAGACAGGGAGAGTCCATGGGGTGCTGGGTTACCTGGAGTCTTATAGGACAACCCTGGATTTTACTCAGTGAGAGGTTTTGCACGTTACAGTGCACTTTAAATAAAACACAAACGTCTTCCCTAGGCCCTCAAGGCCCTTCATTATGACTTGGATGCTGCCCATCTCTCCAGGCTCAACTTACGCTCCTCCTTGCCTTTCATGCCACAGACACTTGGTTCATCTAAGGAGCCCATCCCCTCCTCCTTCCTGTATCCTTAACACTATGTCCAATTCCATCATTCAGTATGGCACAATTTCAATGATCTATTTTATGCTGTTTTCCTTGTTTGTAGAGCACAAGGGTAGGGACTGTCATTTTCATATACGACCATCACCATCACCATCACCATCACCATCACCACCACTCTCAAGTGTGTGCTATCACCAATGAGACAGGAGCCAACAGCCAGTCACTGAAGTGAGCAGCTAAAATCCTAAGCAATGGTCTCTTATGTCAGACCTGCAACATTTGCTCCTCTTCTCCACAAGCTATTTCAGTTTCCCACAAGGGTGAGCAAAACACCTGTGGCCTCCTGCCTGGTCTCTACTAGGTTTAAGACAAAGGCCTTCAAAGAAAGACAACAGATTTTAGGGCTGCAGTGAGGAAATCACAACTTACCAGAGAGGCTGAGATCCTTCTGCAGGGCCCTCAGGCCCTCTCGGTTCTGATTCCTTTTGGTGTCAAGGTCCACAATCTGAAAACAGGAGCGGATGGAAGCTCAGCTACTTGATGCCCCAGCCTGTCACCTTTCAGATGAGGCTGAGGAGACACCACTCCTGGGTTACTTCCTAAAATGGACTGATGCTGACTGTATTTCTCCTCCCACTAAGCTTCCAGGTCCTTAAAGACACTTCACACAGAGGCCTGGTTCTAAGAAGGTGATGAAAAAATGTTTGCTGGCTGAATAGGTAACTTCGTAGTATCCACTCAAACTTAAGGGCATATCAGAATCAGCAGGGAGTGAAAATTTCTCCTCTAAAACACTGTGATTAAGCAGGCCTGAGAAGCTCTATTTTCAAACAAGCTCTTCTACCTAATTTTTTTTTTTGTACCAGGGATCCAATCAGGACCTTGCTTTTGCAAGGCAGGCACATCACCACTGAGTTAAATTCCCAGCCCTCTTCTACCTAATTTTGACTCAGTTTAAGAAACCCAACAACAGTCGGGTGTGGTGGTGCACACCTGTAATCTCAACACTTGGGAGGCTGAGGCAGGAGGATTACCACAAATTTGAGGCCATAGTGAGTTCAAGGCCAGCCTGAACTACATAGCAAGACCCTATCTAAAACAAACAAAAAACCCAGCAATACTAGACCAGAGAAGCAGCAGTAGAGACACTAGTGCAACAGCTACTCTGGAGTGAGGAGGCAGTGCCAGTTTCTGCTTTGAGAGTGATGATGACTCTGGAGCTACAACACCCAGGCTTGAATCCTGGGGCATATACCTTGTGCCTTGAGCAAGGAATTTAAAAAGCAGCTAACAGTACCTGATACCCTGTAGATATTTAATTGATAAGCCTCAACTGCTACCTATTTATCAGTCTTATCAGTCTCATCTGGCACATCTACATGCAGTGTTTAACTTGACAGGCACTTCCCGCGTCTTCCCCTTCTCAGTGAGTACCTGACCCCAGCCTTCTTACTGGAGATAAGAGGCAGTCATGAGCCATGCCTGCCTCCTCCAGCTCCCCCAGCTCTTCATGTAACTATCATCACAGCCTACTGTCCCCATCATCTTCAAAATATATTTCTGAGTGTTGTCTTCTCTTCATCATCACCACCACCTGGTCCAAATCCATCGAGTCTGGACTATGGCAAAGGCTCCTTACTGGCCTTCCTGCTTCCACCCTGCCTCCTGTATTCCGTACTCCACAGAGGCAGCCAGAAGGATATTTTTATACCCTAGATCCAATTACACCACGCCCACCCCAACTCTATTCAAAGACTCAGTCCTTAAATTAGAACCAAAGGCAAAGTCCCTGTGCGCGTTTAAACGGCCTTGCATGACCAGCACTCCCTCCCCCGTCCCTACTCTGCTTCTTCTGGGTCCCTCTCGTCTCCTCACTGCCTTGGGTTGGGGGGGGGACAGCGGGGGAGGGGGAGCGCAGATCAATGATGGAGTCCAGAACTGCATTCTGAAATGCTTAGGGAAACCAAGGCGGCAATGGGTCAGAATCCGGAAAAGACAAGAAAGACAAGTGAATACCCCGCACAGAGCGGGCGCTCACTTCAGACCAGCCAAATGAGCGAGTGATGCACCACGTCCAGCCGGGCATGAGACCCACGTTATCTCAAACCGCCCTCGTATATCGTGTGGGGCCGACAGGCCGCCAGCTAGGTCAATGCTGCGACCCCAACGCCGCGGAGGGGCCTTTCACCTGCCGCTTATCCGCTAGCACTTCTTCGGCGAGCTCCTCTACCTCGACCAGGTATCGCAGCACCCGCTCTGCCTCCGGAGACAGCATAGCTCGCGTAGCGCCCTTGAAGTTCCGTTGAGTGTCCGTTCACATTCCCGTCTGACTCCCTTTGCGCACGCGCTGCACTGACGGGGCTTCCGGTACGCCTGCGCAGTGACAGAAGGACGGCGCGCAAATTCCAACGCAAGGGCGACGGCGGGACGCCAGAGGCGGGGCTCGGCATTGGGGGCGGGGCTGGAGCGCCCCCTGCAGGCCCGAAAGAACACAGTCGGAGGCTCTGCCTCTTACCTTCCCTGCCTTCCAATACTTGAGAACCTACTATGTGCCAAGCAGTTTAAGGTGCTGAGGATGTAGCAGTGAGAAAAAAAAATTCTTACCCTTTTGGGACCTCATCCTAGTGGGAAACGCTGGCAATTAATGATAAATAATTATGTACCATGGAAGGTAGTAATAAAGCATTTCCCCCATTTAATAAACACTAAGTAAGTCTACGTGGAAATGTGACTTATAGCTAACCTCTGACACCTTCAATTTCCAATCTATAAACAAAAGGGAATAGAAATTCTCCCATCTCTCCTGCAGGATGGAAAGAAAGCAGTAACCACTTTAAATTTTGCCTGAACACAGTGCTCATTAAGCTCTTTTGTTAAGCCCAATGTCCAGAGTAGTTGACCTAGACCCAAAGAAGGCCCTGGAGAATTGGGCAATGAGCAGTGAGTGCCAGCTCAGGAACGCAGTCTAAAAGAGCTGAGACGTGCATCCGTGGGGGCCATAGGATGCCAAGAGTCTTCCCAGGAGAGGCAGCCAACAGCAGTGGCAAGATGGAACCAGAGGGTCCCCTAGAGATCTTTGTGCCCAGGCCCCAGTTGTCTAGCTACAAACACCAAGGCTCACACAAGGCTCAGAGGGAGGTGAGGACCCTGTCTCCTGCTTCCCTGATTCTGGCTTTTTTTTTTTTTTTTTTGATAGGTCTCCTTAAGTCACTAAGTTGCCTTGTCTGGGCTTGAACTTGTGATCCTCCTGAGGCAGCCTCCCAGAGTGCTGGGATCACAAACATGTACCAGCTTTATTCTCTCCTGTTGACTGGTGGTCACTTAGCCCTCTCACACTCTGCCTTGCTTTAGTTTCACAGAAATCTTTGTAGAGATTGTTATTGCCCCATCTCACAGCTGCACACTGAGACCAGGGAGGGGCAGTGCCTCATCACACAGCAAGTAGGTGCAAACCTGGGTCAGGAAATGCTCTGGTCTCCATTCCACAGCTGCCTCTAGACTGTCCCCCAAATTGTGGCCATAGAAGGTACAGCAGAACCTCTTCTTTGCCTGGCCTTTGGCTGTCTTCAGCTACCAGAGGAGTGGCAGAGCTAATTTTCCCTGCAGCTGCTTGGTGTGGGGAAGGAGGCAGACTCATTAAGGATTCCTCATTGAGGGTGAATTTGTCACCAAACCCAGGATGTTTTGTGTAAACACCTTCTGGTTCACAAATGCAAACACAGGCCTTGTGAAAGAAGGGAACATTTGCCAAAGGAGACTCACAGGCATCCCTTGTCCCTGCCCAGCACTGAGTCCCTCCACCTTAGGGACCAGAGAGGCTGGACAGGCTGACCCTTGACCCTACCAGGTGGGTCTGGGTGGGGAGAGGTTAAGGGAGGCTCCCATTAGCAGTTTCTTGGATATGACTGGCCTTCAGAGGCCACTCCTGGCTACTGGAAGTTGGGGAGGGAGTCATAGTTATCTCTAAGATTCAGCCTGGTCAGATCTAGGAAGACTCTTGGAGATCACTTATATTTCAGAACTGCTTATTTCACAAATACATATTTACTTCCAAGGTCCCATTAAAAGTCCACCATAACCAAAACCAGGAATGGTCCCTGCACTCAGAGCTCCAGCCCAGTGGATGAGGCAATCAACACATGAATGAGTGAGTATATCACATATCAGGTGGTGAAAAGTGCTCTGGGGGAAACGACAGGGCAAAGTGGAGAGGGAATTGTGTGGGTATTGCTGGAGAAAAGGTGGCCAGGGAGGACTTCTCTGAGGAGGTGGCACTAGCATGTGCGTGGGGGTCATGTGGATATTGCAGGCAAAGGGAATAGCAAGTGCAAAGATCCTGAAATGAGCCTTTATTTGGCAAGTTGGGAGAACAGTGAGGCCAGTAGAGGTAGAGAGAATGAGTGAGGGGGAGAGGGTAGGAGACAAGGTCGGAGAGGGGAAGGAGACATTGAGCACAAAGGCTGTAGAAAGGGCCATCAGCATCCCACACAAATCCCTAAGGCCTTTCTGGAGGTCACCTGCAGTCCCTGCTGCACAAGCCTGTGGCTATAGGTTGTCTCTCCCCACTGAGGTGAGTTGGGTGGTGAGTGCCAGTGAGTTGACACCTACAGGCATGAGCCCCTACCCAGAATAAAGAGGAGCCATGGACTGTACCCCGCAGTCTTTGTTCCTCTGTGGAAGACCCAAAAGAAAGCTGCTGCAGTCATCCAGACAAGGACAGGGTTACTGGGCCCGAGGGAGCAGGAGGCTGGTGGCCAATGGTGGGATTCTCATGGTGGGAATCCCTTGCACATGGTCCTCCATCCACCAGGATACTTTTTCCCATGCCTTTGTACCTGCACAACTGCCACATACCCCCACATCTTGAGATTTCCCCCAAGTCCCCACAGCTTCTGGGGTTTCCTCATCTCTGCACTTATGACATTATCTTTTTGTCTCTAAGCATCTCCCTTTCCAGGCATGAGCTCCTCAGGATTGGGACCCGGTCTGTCATATTCCCTGCTGTATCTCCAGGACCAAGTATGGTCCCTGGTGCACAGTAGGCATGCAGTCAATGTTTATGAAAAGAATGCATGGATTTTCTAAAATCCAAAGTATCCAAAGAGGAGCAGAGCTAACTTGGGGTACCTCGCTCCCCATCACAGGAGGCAGGATTGTACATGGCTGGGACATGACAGAGGAGGTCAAACTCTGGGTGGGGTGGTCCTTCAGTCTTTCCTAACCAAAAACCTCCACCTGGTCACACTGTGGCTGGCCATGCCCCCAGTCTTGGCCACCCCAAGTCTAGGAATGTGGCTCCTAAGGCCTTGTTTGGGGACTGAAGCCAATGGGAACAATTCCCTTTTAGGATGCACCTTTCCTCCAAGCTAGACCTCATCATCTCAGGGATTTCAAGCTCCTCTTCCTTGCTTGGGTTGAGGCAAGGTGCAGGGCATAGTGCTGAGGTGTAACACACCCTGGGGGTTCCTTACAGGAGCAGACTGAAGCCATCATCCACACTCTGGCTGGAATCACAGCCCTGCTAGTCTTCCTCTACCTCTCTGTGCTGCCCCCCTCCCCACTCCTCAATGGTAAGAACCCTCCAAGGCTCCCATCTCACTTGTCACCAAGATCCATGGGTCCTTGTGTGACTTTCCTAGCACTCTGAGTTACCACCTAACCCCTTACAGCTCCTCAGACAAGCCAGGTGTGGGCCTACCACAGGGCCTTTATACTGGCTACTCCCTCTGTCTGTATTTACCCTGATAGCTACATGGCTCTCTCTGTTACCTCCTATAAGTCTTTCCTCAAATATCACCTTTTCAGTGAAAGGCACCTTGACCACCTTATTTAAATGCAATCCCAGTCCTTCCCAATATTCCTGTTCAGCTTCCTGTTTCTTTTTCTTTCCATAACTTTTGTCACCTTCCAGCATGCTGTGTGATTTACTTACTTATTATGTCTATTGTTAATCTCCTTCTGCTCCTTCTGCCCATGGGGACAGGAATCTTTGTCTCCTTCATTCACCGATATACCTTGAACACCTAGAATAGTGCCTGTCCCCTGATAGGTGCTCAATAAATATTTTTTGAATGAATGAGAAGTTGAGTCAGAATTCTAACCAGGGCCGGGCTCCTGACCCCATATTGGGATGCTGGAGTTGGGAGGGGGAGCAGTAGCTCCTGGCAGGCCTTGTAGACAAAGATAGAGGACTGGGTTTTGCTCTCAGGTCAGTGAGAAGCTGTGGAAGGGGTTTGAGCAAGCACAGCATGACTGGATTTGCTGGGTGAAAGCCCCTCTAGTTCTGGTGGGAGGGTAGCTGAAAGGGCTGCATGTGTACATGTTGGGGTGAGTGGGTGATGCTGGAGGCTTGGAGAGGTGACCCGGCTGCAGCTGCACTGGGGCTGGGAGAGTGTGAAGAGAGGCCAACTCAGTATCCCAATTCTCCAGGCAGCCTGGGTGGCTGCCCTACCAACCCTGGCCTGTGAGAACTGCTTCAGTGCTGTGAATGGGCTCTTTGCTCGCCTGGGTGGTCCCAGCTCCACCCTCCACTTCCTTTGCATCCTTGCCACTTGGCAGGTGGAAGGAAGGCCTCGGATTCCTCTTCATCTGACCTGGAGAATAATCCCTTACATTCATGAGATTCTCCTCTCGCCCAGACTTCATCCTCCCACGTCCCTGGGTAAGGCAGAAATCTGATTCCCCTTGGGCAGATGAGGACAGTGAGGCCAGGAAATGGGAGGGGACCCTCCCAAGGTCATGCAGCCAGATGGGGACACCAGGTGGAGACACATTTCCCAATTCCCCATGCCTAGATTTCACCAGGCACAGATGGCCCCAAGGCTTGGCTTGAAAAATCTTAAGTGACTCCAAAGAGAGTGCAAGCCTAGAACATTCCAGGCCTCCCTCCTTTCTACTACATTTAATCCTTTTGTTGTTGTTGTTTTAAGACAGGGTCTCACTATTCAGTTCAGGTTGGTCTTGGGCTCACTATGCAGCCCAGGTTGACCTCAAACTCGAAGTGATCTTCCTGCTTTAGCCTTCCAAGTGCTAGAATTATAGGTATACAACACCACATCTGGCTTAATCCTAAATTCTTGCATGTTAAATTCTATGAGTAAATTCTTCTTGTTGAAAATGAAAATAAAGTTTGGCATGGTAGTACATCCCTGTAAATCCAGCACTCTGGGATACTGAGGCAGGAGAATCACAACTTTGAGCCCAACCTAGACACCTTAGTGATTTAGTGAGACTGTCTCTCAAAATAAAAAATAATAAAAAGGCTGGGGATGTAGCTCAGTGCAAAGGCCCCTGGGTTCAATCCTCAGTGTCACAAAACAAAAAACAAAGAGGGCCAGGGGATTTAGCTCAGTGGTGCCACCACCTGCCTTGCA